ATGTCTTGTCAATTACTCCTTTGGTAAATCCATTGTCTATAAGAAATTGAGACAATGTATCATACCAAGCTCTTGGTGCTTGTTTGAGTCCATATAGCGCCTTCTTGAGTCTATACACCTGATCTCCCTTAGTGTGTAACTCAAATCCTGGAGGTTGTTCTACATACACTTCTTCCTCTAGGTTTCCGTTGAGAAATGCACTTTTGACGTCCATTTGATAGACTTTAAAGTCCTTATGAGTAGCAAAGGCTAGAAACAGCCTTATAGCTTCAAGTCTTGCAACTGGAGCGAAGGTTTCATCAAAATCTATACCTTCTTCTTGACAATATCCTTTAGCAACTAACCGGGCCTTGTTTCTGACAACAACACCGTTTTCATCCATCTTGTTCCAGAAGACCCACTTTGTCCCAATGACATGTTGATGAGTAGGTCTGGGAACAAGTTTCCAGACATCATTTCTGGAAAACTGGTTGAGTTCTTCTTGCATTGCATTGATCCAATCAGAATCAGCAAGAGCTTCTTCCATATTCTTTGGTTCTACTTGTGAGATGAAACAAGCAAGCATAACTTCTAGATTCTGTTGGGCACTCCTTGTGCGAACACCAGATTGAATATCTCCGATGATCTGTTGAGGAGGATGATCCCTTAACCAACGAAGATTGTGTTGATTGGGATTGACTGGTTGATCTAGTTCAGCTTCTAGTTGAAGAACAGAAGTTGTTGGTGTTTCCGGATGGATTGGCACTGGGTCGCCATTTCCGGAATTGTTGCCGTTTGAAATATCCGGAATATTGGAAGGCTGGCCAAGATTTCCGGATGGCTCAGCACTGTCTGAATCCGGATTTCTCTGTGAAATCTTCAGAGGCAGACTTCTGAATGGAATGAATTCCGTGGGCTTCATTCTATCTCCTTTATTGACTTCTTCATCCTTGTCTGATAGATCCAGAACTTCATGGTCATGCTTTGATGGCTTGTCATCCACATGTTTTTGGTCAAAAATAACATGTATTGACTCTTCCGTAATCATGGTTCTTTTGTTGAAGACTCTGAATGCCTTGCTTACCATGGAATATCCTAGGATGATGGCCTCATCTGACTTCTCATCAAAAGTGTTCAGATGATTCTTCCCGTTGTTTAACACAAAGCACTTGCTCCCAAAAATATGGAAATATGATATATTAGGCTTTCTCCCGTTCCACAGTTCATAGGGAGTTTTGTTGTGCCTTTTATAGATCATACTCCTATTTTGAGTATAGCAGGCTGTGTTAACTGCTTCAGCCCAGAACCTCTTTGGTAAGGAAGCTTCTGCTAGCATGGTTCTCACTGCTTCCTTCAGGGTTCTGTTCCTTCTTTCAGCTACACCATTCTGTTGAGGTGTCCTTGCTGCAGATGTCTGATGAAGAATTCCGTTTTCTTCACAGTAGTGAATGATGATTTCATT